AGACAAGGCCATTACATAATGGTGAAGGGATCAATTCAACAAGAAGAGCTAACTATCCTAAATATATATGCTCCCAATACAGGAGCACCTAGATTCATAAAGCAAGTCCTTAGAGACTTACAAAGAGACTTAGACTCCCATACAATAATAATGGGAGACTTTAACACCCCATTGTCAACATTAGACAGATCAACAAGACAGAAACTTAACAAGGATATCCAGGAATTGAACTCACCTCTGCACCAAGCGAACCTAATAGACATCTACAGAACTCTCCACCCCAAAGCAACAGAATATACATTCTTCTCAGCACCACATCACACTTATTCCAAAATTGACCACATAGTTGGAAGTAAAGCACTTCTCAGCAAATGTAAAAGAACAGAAATTATAACAAACTGTCTCTCAGACTACAGTGCGATCAAACTAGAACTCAGGAGTAAGAAACTCAATCAAAACTGCACAACTACATGGAAACTGAACAACCTGCTCCTGAATGACTACTGGGTATATAATGAAATGAAGGCAGGAATAAAGATGTTCTTTGAAGCCAATGAGAACAAAGATACAACATACCAGAATCTCTGGGACACATTTAAAGCAGTGCGCAGAGGGAAATTTATAGCACTAAATGCCCACAAGAGAAAGCAGGAAAGATCTAAAATTGACACCCTAACATCACAATTAAAAGAACTAGAGAAGCAAGAGCAAACACATTCGAAAGCTAGCAGAAGGCAAGAAATAACTAAGGTCAGAGCAGAACTGAAGGAGATAGAGACACAAAAAACCCTCCAAAAAATCAATGAATCCAGGAGTTGGTTTTTTGAAAAGATCAACAAAATTGATAGACTGCTAGCAAGACTAATAAAGAAGAAAAGAGAGAAGAATCAAATAGATGCAATAAAAAACAATAAAGGGATATCACCACCAACCCCACAGAAATACAAACTACCATCAGAGAATATTATAAACACCTCTACGCAAATAAACTAGAAAACCTAGAAGAAATGGATAATTTCCTGGACACTTACACTCTCCCAAGACTAAACCAGGAAGAAGCTGAATCCCTGAATAGACCAATAGCAGGCTCTGAAATTGAGGCAATAATTAATAGCCTACCAACCAAAAAAAGTCCAGGACCACATGGATTCACAGCTGAATTCTACCAGAGGTACAAGGAGGAGCTGGTACCATTGCTTCTGAAACTATTCCAATCAATAGAAAAAGAGGGAATCCTCCCTAACTCATTTTATGAGGCCAACATCATCCTGATACCAAAGCCTGGCAGAGACACAACAAAAAAGAATTTTAGACCAACATCCCTAATGAACATCGATGCGAAAATCCTCAATAAAATACTGGCAAACTGAATCCAGCAGCACATCAAAAAGCATCCCTGGGATGCAAGGCTGGTTCAACATTCGCAAATCAATAAACGTAATCCAGCATATAAACAGAACCAGAGACAAAACCCACATGATTATCTCAATAGATGCAGAAAAGGCCTTTGACAAAATTCAACAGCGCTTCATGCTAGAAACTCTCAATAAATTCGGTATTGATGGAACGTATCTCAAAATAAGAAGAACTGTTCATGGCAAACCTACAGCCAATAACATACTGAATGGGCAAAAACTGGAAGCATTCTCTTTGAAAACTGGCACAAGACAGGCATGCCCTCTCTCACCCCTCCTATTCAACATAGTGTTGGAAGTTCTGACTAGGGCAATCAGGAAAGAGAAAGAAATAAAGGGTATTCAATTGGGAAAAGAAGAAGTTAAATTGTCCCTGTTTGCAGATGACATGACTGTATATTTAGAAAACCCCATCATCTCAGCCCGAGATCTCCTTAAGCTGATAAGCAACTTCAGCAGTCTCAGGATACAAAATCAATGTGCAAAAATCACAAGCATTCTTATACACCAGTAACAGACAAACAGCCAAATCATGAGTGAACTCCCATTCACAATTGCTTCAAAGAGAATAAAATACCTAGGAATCCAACTTACAAGGGATGTGAAGGACCTCTTCAAGGAGAACTACAAACCACTGCTCAGTGAAATAAAAGAGGACACAAACAAATGGAAGAACATACCATGCTCATGGATAGGAAGAATCAATATCGTGAAAATGGCCATACTGCCCAAGGTAGTTTATAGATTCAATGCCATCCCCATTAAGCTACCAATGACTTTCTTCACAGAATTGGAAAAGACTGTGTTAAAGTTCATATGGAACCAAAAAAGAGCCCACATTGCCAAGACAATCCTAAACCAAAAGAACAAAGCTGGAGGCATCATGCTACCTGACTTCAAACTATACTACAAGGCTACAGTAACCAAAACAGCATGGTACTGGTACCAAAACAGAGATATAGACCAATGGAACAGAACAGAGCCCTCAGAAATAATACCACACATCTACAGCCATCTGATCTTTGACAAACCTGAGAAAAACAAGAAATGGGGAAAGGATTCCCTATTTAATAAATGGTGCTGGGAAAATTAGCTAGCCATAAGTAGAAAGCTGAAACTGGATCCTTTCCTTACTCCTTATACGAAAATTAATTCAAGATGGATTAGAGACTTAAATGTTAGACCTAAAACCATAAAAAATCTAGAAGAAAACCTAGGTAATACCATTCAGGACATAGGCATGGGCAAGGACTTCATGTCTAAAACACCAAAAGCAGCAGCAACAAAAGCCACAATTGACAAACAGTATCTAATTAAACTACAGAGCTTCTGCAAAGCAAAAGAAACTACCATCAGAGTGAACAGGCAACCTACAGAATGGGAGAAAATTTTTGCAATCTACTCATCTGACAAAGGGCTAATATCCAGAACCTACAAAGAACTCAAACAAATTTACAAGAAAAAATCAACCCCATCAAAAAGTGGGCAAAGGATATGAACAGACACTTCTCAAAAGAAGACATTTATACAGCCAACAGACACATGACAAAATGCTCATCATCACTCGCCATCAGAGAAATGCAAATCAAAACCACAATGAGATACCATCTCACACCAGTCAGAATGGCGATCATTCAAAAGTCAGGAAACAACAGGTGCTGGAGAGGATGTGGAGAAATAGGAACACTTTTACACTGTTGGTGGGACTGTAAACTAGTTCATCCATTGTGAAAAACAGTGTGGCGATTCCTCAAGGATCTAGAACTAGATGTACCATATGACCCAGCCATCCCATTACTGTGTATATTCCCAAAGGATTATAAATCATGCTGCTATAAAGAGACGTGCACACATTTGTTTATTGCAGCACTATTCACAATAGCAAAGACTTGGAATCAACCCAAATGTCCATCAGTGAGAGACTGGATTAAGAAAATATTCCACATATACACCATGGAATAGTATGCAGCCATAAAAAAGGATGAGTTTGTGTCCTTTGTAGGGACATGGATGCAGCTGGAAACCATCATTCTCAGCAAACTATCACAAGAACAGAAAACCAAACACCGCATGTTCTCACTTATAGGTGGGAATTGAACAATGAGATCACTTGGACACAGGAAGGGGAACATCACACACTGGGGCCTATTGTGGGGAGGGAGGAGGGGGCACTCAGCAGACCCTCTGCTGCTTCAGGGAGGAGGAAGGGGAGGGCGCATTAGAGGTCTCATACTACAAGCTATTTAAGTGATTAATGGATGCAGCACACAACATGGCACACATGCTCCACATGCTGTCTAAGCCTGCCGCATTTATTGCTGGGTACCCTAGAACTTAAAGTATAATTTTTAAAAAGTGAAAAAAAATAGTATGAAGAAACGAAATCAGCTTAGCTGAACAGAAAAGTTTATTAAATGTTAGTGCATTTATGCAGAAAATATACTTCCCGATGAGGACAGTTTTTTGTTTTGTTTTTCCTTATTTTAAGATTTTTCAGTGAAAGGTCAAACAATTCAAACTCAGTTTGCCTTCTTTTGCTGTAAGATAGTATTGAACTAAATTTCTTTTGTGTCAGTATTGGTAACGATCTTCTTGGAGAGGTCTTTGTCACCTTTTTGCAGAGGTTATCCTGCGGGGAGGAATAGAGATGGAAGGATGCCATAGTCTCTTTCTCCTTTAGTCTGCCCTGTAAATGCAAGGCAGCTCTGTTTGAAAATTCTAAATAATTTTTACAGAGTAAATTTACATTATTCACTTTTGAAAATAAATGATATTTTAAATTCAAAATCAAAATTAATCACACACTGGGGCCTATTGTGGGGAGGGAGGAGGGGGGAAGGGGGAGGGGTAGCATTAGGAGATATACCTAATGTAACTGATGAGTTAATGGATGCAGCACACCAACATGGCACATGTATACATGTAATAAGCCTGCACGTTGTGCACAGGTACCCTAGAACTTAAAGTATAATTTTTAAAAAGTGAAAAAAAATAGTATGAAGAAAGCTTAATCAAACTAGTAATTGAGAAAAGTTTATTAAATATTGATGCATTTTATGCAGAGAAAATATACTTTCGATGAGGACAGTTTTTGTTTTGTTTTTCCTTGTTTTAGATTTTTGATGAAAGGTCAAACAATTCAAACTCAGTTTTGCCTTCTTTTGCTGTGAATAGTGTTAGACTAAGTTTACTTTGTGTCAGTGTTGGTAGTCTTCTTGGAGGGGGTTAACATGCCTTTTGCAGGACATCTCTTGAGGGGAGGAATAGAATGGAAGGATGCCATAGTCTCTTTCTCCTTTAGTCTGCCCTGTAAAATGCAAAGGCAGCTCATGAAAATTCTGATAATTTTTACTGAAATGCAAGTGCATTATTTCTTAGAAAATAAATGATATTTTTAGATTAAATGACTGAAATTTAAATTTAGTAGTGATGGAAAGTAATCTGTAATCTATAATAGTAATCTATTTCCATCTATATGTAAGATGGAAATCAGAGATATTTAATTTATGTTTTAGAACTTTTGTGTTAAATATTGTATGGTTCTACTTTATTGATGATGAAATTGTCTTTATTTAATCTTCCCAGGAAATTGTGGCTGCAGAGAAGAAGAAACAGATTGTTGCAGAGCAAGTCATGATAGACCACTTATCTAGGTGAGAATTAGCAACTCACAATAGAAATCAATTCAGAAAATTTTCATTAAATTTCTTTTCATGCATGACACTCATATGCTTGGTCAATTAAAGGTTAGCTAACTCAGAGGTTCCCAAACTTTCTTTGTTCACTGCACTGTTAGTGTTTTAGTAATTTTTTCACAGCACTCTTAGACCAATAGAAATACCTAACAGTTCTATTTGTTAAGTATTTTTCTCTAAACAACTTAATAAGTATTTATTTGCTAACAACTAATGACCATTTAAAAAATAATACATACAAATTGAAAGAAGATATCCTTACTTTATTCTTACCAAGGATCTGTATGCATCTTATGGGCACTGCAGTCTCTCAAATCCTAGAATCATTTACAATGCTGCCACTTCCACTTTATATTCCATACTGATTTTCACCTGATATTTGCTTTCTATCATAACAACTATAGAAAACTCAGCTCTGCAAAGATGTAACATCATGGAAGCAGTATAGTGTGCTGTCTTGTTGAAGCTGTGAGCTACCCTGAGGTTGAACTAGTAGTTTATCTGGTGTGTAAGTGATGTCAAGTATCACTGAGTTTCCCTCAAAAATTAAAAATATTCCATAGTACCCCTGTGAGTTCACTGTGTTACCTTAGGGTTCCTTGGTGCAGTTCGAGAACTGTGAGACTGTTAAGAATTTTAAAACCCGTTAGAAAACTAAAATTTTAACATATGCATCGCTGAATTGCATGATAATATGGAAATATGCTAGAATTTCTGAAGAGGTTGGAATTATCTACTTCAAGTAAAAAGTAAGACTTAGCTTTGAAAAAACTGTTTAGTTACGTGGCAGAAGGAATGAATGACAGAAAGAATGATGCATGTTTCTACATGCACGTTTTTCAGTGAATTCTTTGAAATAGTTATACCTAGAGTCTTCCCTTGTTCCTCCTTCCATTGTCTCATGAACTTAGTGTTTTCACCTCCACCATGCCTCCAACAACTTTTTTCCAGAAGTAGTGAGATCCATATTGCTAGACTAACGGTTTCTCAGTTCTCATTTACTTGGCCCATCTGCAGCAGCTGTCTCATTTGAAACTTTATTTTCTTTGAGGCAGGTTTTTTGTTTTGTTTTTTTTCTGCATGGCTTCCTGCACGCAACACTTGACTGTTCTCCTACCTTTCTCCCCTTCTCAGAATCTCTTGTGGTTCTTCTTCACCTTCCCAGTCTTTAAACATGGGTGTGCCCAAGAGCTCAGTTCTTGGACCTCTCTTGTATTTGCTTTTTAAGTGATCTCATCCAGTAGCATGCCTTTAAAAACCACCTATATTCTGATACTTCTCTAAGATTTCAATTTAACTTTCTCCAATCTGGGTGTCTGAAGCTTTACTGCCCTCTCTTCCACCATGACCAAATCTTTAATTTTCCTCCATGGCAAGTCAATTCTTCTTGTTTCTAAGACCTAAAATCCTAGTGATGCCTTTGACCCCTCTCTTTCTCTCAAATACCATATCTAGCTTGCCAACGAACACTCTCAGTCCTACCATCAACATAGATTTACTCCCTCTGCTGCCACCATCCTATTCAAACTTACTTTGTGTCCCCTGGATTATTTCAGGGACTACTTAACTGGCCTCATTGTTTCTGCATTTGCCGCTTACTGGTTTATTTTCAACCCAGTACCCCATAGTTAATCTATTAAAAGGTAAGCCAGATAAAACCCTCCAGGAATTTCTCATTTCAATCACAGTGAAAGCTACAAGGCTCGTGTATTAATTATGTGTCACAACAAAAATCAGTAGCTTAAAAGAACAGTAATTTTTGCTCATGTGTCTTTAGGTTATCTATCAAGGCTAGGCTTGGCTGGAAGGTCCTTACTTTTTGTTTTGCCCAGTTGTATATGAGCAAAACTGGTCTTAGGTTTGATGTTAGGCCTTAAATAATCTCATGTGTTTCCATTTGCCCTTTAGTGCTCCTGCCACTTTTGAGAGAAGAACACTGCTTGGCTAGTCTGGTAGTCTCAAGAAAAAGGTCCTTCTAGAAATGCCACTGAGCTACTTAGCTGAGATCATCCTAGATAAACAGATTTCCAACCAACCCGCATTTGTATGAGTTAGTTCAGTTGAGATTAGCAGAGTCATATAGCTGTGTGTAACTGACCAAAGCAAGTCAAAAGCTCAAGGTCAAGGGGTAAGAAAGTACACACCACCTATAATGAGGCCATAGCAAGGATGTGGATCAGGATTACTAAAAAATTTGGGCCAATAACACAGCTATCCAAGCCCACTATTGGACCTTGGACCTTGGACCTTGGACTTTTCTCCCTCTTTCCCACTCTCCTCTAGCCATTTGACTTCTCCCTGTTCTGGAACATACCAGGTTCCATTCCTGTGTTAGGTACTTTGCATTTATTTTCCCCTCTTCTTGGAATGCCTTTTCCCCAGAAATGTGTGTGTCTGCTTACTCATTTTAGCTCCTGTCTTTACTTAGAAGTCACCTTGGTGAGGCCTACCTTGGCCTTACTATAAATAAACCATAAATACATTTAAATCAATAAATTGACCATAAATAAATTTATGATCCTTTGCTCAAAATTTTGCATCTTCTTACCATTTCATTTTTTCCTCCATAGGGACATGTAATTCATGTTATATTTTCTCTGTTTATCATGTTAATTATCTTGCGGCCTCTTCAGAATGTGAGCTTCATGAGGGCAGAGCACTTTGGAAGTTTTGCTCACTATTACACTCCCATTGGCTAGTCTAGTAGCTGTATAGTAAAACTTGTTGAATAGGCAAATGAATGAATGAACTGGAAAAGAGGACTTAAATAGAGTCAGCAGAATTTGGTTTTAGGTTTAGCTATGTGACTAATTCGCTGTTTGAGCTTTCATATTTTCCTTCTGTATGTCTTGATTTTTGCTTCTGCCAAATTAACATTAAGATTTCTTATAACTCTAACATTCCGTGTATGTATATTTAACACAGAACTGATAAATAAAGTGTGAGAATAGAATAGGTGCCACTTTTTTATAAATACCAGCCTTTTTCATTTGGGAAATTTAAAAAATATCTTAATGCTCAATTTAAAAAGAGGATTTAGTTCCTAACTTGGCACACAAATGAACAGAATCTACAGTATATGGTAGACATGACTAAAGCTTTTCCTGAATGTTCCAGCAGTGGAAATAACTCAATAAATTCATAAGTTCTATCTTTGAATTGCTGTTTCATTTTCATAGTTTTGAAGGTTCATGATACCCTTTAAAAAATGTCTACTCATTTATTCTTTTATCCAGTTAATCATCAAATTTATTCAGACTTAGGGTTTTTCCAGGCAAGTAGAAAAAACCAGAGAGGGCAAGATTGTAGAAAAAACCAGAGAGGGCAAGATTGTTAAAAGGTGGGTACAGGATTCTCTTTTGATGAATCATGGAACCCAACCTGCTAAGGAGGAAAGTAAGTGTTACTGGATGGTGCCATGTAGTTCCAGGCTCTTGGTGTCCTGAACAAAGAATTGGACGAGACGCACAGAGATAGCGAAGCAAAGCAGCAGAAGTGTATTAAGCGCAGTATTACACTCTCGGAGTGGGGGAATGGACTGAGTTCTGTGAGATAAATCAACCTTAGTTTGGTCCTTTGGGTCCTTTTACGTGTTTTGTTTTCTTCTCTTCCCAAGGATGCCTAATCTCTAGCCAGTGTCTGCTTTTTGATTAATAGATGTTGCTGAGTTAATTTGGCCCTTGTGTGCTTGTGTGTCATCTCCATCCCATAATTTTAAGTACATGTATGATATGCAGTCCATATGCATGAAACTTAAATAGCTAATTACCACTTTGGGTCATTTTAAGGATACTTCTTTTTAATGAGCATGGCCCTCTCTGGGGAGCTGCCCCTGACAGGTTTGGTCTGAACCTAGCTGGCCATGGGGGCTCCTTACTCACTTTTTTTTTTTTTTTTTTGAGACTGAGTCTCGCTCTGTCACCCAGGCTGGAGTGCAGTGGTGCGATCTCGGCTCACTGCAAGCTCCTTACTCACTTTTTTATCTCACTTTTGTTTTGGCTGCTGAACCTCTGCTTTTTTTTTTTTTTTTTTTTTTGAGACGGAGTCTCGCTCTGTCGCCCAGGCTGGAGTGCAGTGGCCGGATCTCTGCTCACTGCAAGCTCCGCCTCCCGGGTTCACGCCATTCTCCTGCCTCAGCCTCCCAAGTAGCTGGGACTACAGGCGCCCGCCACCTCGCCCGGCTAGTTTTTTGTATTTTTTTAGTAGAGACGGGGTTTCACCGGGTTAGCCAGGATGGTCTCGATCTCCTGACCTCGTGATCCGCCCGTCTCGGCCTCCCAAAGTACTGGGATTACAGGCTTGAGCCACCGCGCCCGGCCGAACCTCTGCTTCTTATCTCGCTTCTTGCTCAGTCACCCCTTCACCTTCTTTCTGCTCTCATGCTTTTACTCATTCGGTCCTTTTCCAACTTTTAATTCCTTTTGCTATTTTCCTGCATCATTTCCCCTGTTTTCCTGTCTCATAAGGATATGAGGATAACCTATTATTCTTACCCTTAAAATAATATTAATAACAACAATAACAAATCAAAACTATTACCAGTGGTGGGTGTCCAGGTTCTTTGCCCTTTGAACAAAGAATTGGACAAAACACAAAAGCAAAGCAAGGAAAGAATGATGCAACAAAAGCAGAGATTTATTGAAAATCAAAATATACTCCACAGGGTGGGAGCAGCCTGAGCAAGTGGCTCAAGGACCTGATTGCAGAATTTTCTGGGGCTTAAATACCCTCTAGAGGTTTCCCATTGGTTACTTGGTGTACATGTAAATGTATGTAATGACAAATATATACATACATTTCTTTTTACTTTGTCTATTTACATACTTTGTCTACTTTGTCTATGTAAATGAAGAAGTGGCCTGCAATCAGTCTAATTGGTTGTGGAAAGTGACCAATCAGAAGCTGAAGCGAAGTTAAAGTTACACCCTATGCAAACATCTGATTGGTCATGGGAAGTGACCAGTCAGAGGCTGAAGTGAGTTACAAAGTTATCCTCCTATGCAAATTTAGACTTGGCCGACAACCATCGTGACTGGTCATGGGAGGGGACCAATCAGAGGTATTTTCAATTTTTCATCTGCCACACAGAAAAGGGGGGTGGTTGCAAAGGAAGTAACCTCTGGTCCTTTGTTACTTGAGTGTGGAAAGTTGGGGTTTTCCTTTTGATTTAGTTCTAGGAAGTCAGTGTGAATGGACCTTAGGTTTCCTGTCTCCAGACCCTATTCTCCTGCCTTAAAAACACAATGACACCTATGTTCCTTATATTATTAATTGAATCTCATTTCACATAGTTCAGTTACTATAGATCTTTCTACTTGATGACCTCAAATCCAATTAGTTTTCTAGTTCTGTTGATGTTTCTTGAATTTGTTCTTTCTACTTTGTCTATTTATTTACTTTTTATTATTTTTTTGTTTGTGTTCTTTTGTATTTATGTATTTTATAGTTTTGGGGTACATGAGATAATTTAACAATATAATTTGTAAAGATCAAGTCAGTGTACTTGGGATAACCGTAACCTTAAATATTTGTATTTTCTGTATATTAGAAACATTTTAATTATTGTCTTCAAGCTACTTTAAAATGTGCTACATATTATTATAATTATAGTCACCCTACTGTTCTATGGAACACTGGATCTTTTTTCCTCGATCAAACTGTGTGTTTACTGCCACCTTAGTGTAGACCCTTACTATCACTTTTCAAAACCATTGCAATGCCACCTGATGGGCTATCATGCCTCTATAATTTAACCATATTCAGTAAAATGTGCAGTAAAAGGGAAATTAGGAGGCAAAGCTTCAACTATTGAGTGCTTTTATAATACTTAGTAGATTATAGGTACTCTATACCTATACTCTATACTCTATACCTGTACATGTTAACTAATTTATTTAATCTTCACATCACTTCTGTGTGGGAGATACCATTATTCTTTCTTTTATTAATGAGAAAACTTTGGCCCAGAGCAAAATGACCAGATAACGCTACACGGCTAATTATTGCAGTAGACAAGGATTGAATCCAGGCAGTCTAGTTGCAGAGTCTGTACTCTCATCCATTACACTGTGTACAGTCCTCAGGTGTGTCCTCACTGTGCTGTCTGCTGTGGCTGTACACATATTGTTCCTCTACTTGTGGTAGCCTTACTCCTTCTCCTCTGAGTGCTAACTTGTACTCACTTTTTTTGGATTGTATCACAAGAATCTTTAATGTTTACTTTAACATTAACTCATGGTGGGGTTGAAAATGTGTTTAGTAAAGTGTGCCAAGTGCCCACATTGAGACCAGCTCCATTCAAATCAGTTCACTCTGCGAGGATGTTTCCTGTGCCCAGCAAGGTCGTGAAGAGAGGGGCCTTGACTTTTCTCTTTGTTAGGTCAGCTTTGCTGGTGAGTTCTTCCAAACTTGCCAGGAGCAGCCTACCCCAGTACACATCATCAGTCCCATGTAAAAGAATACGATGGAAACTTTCTCAATATATTTCATCAGTTTAGCACGTCTCTGGTACAAAAATCCAAGAAAGGCAGCACAAAAGCAAAAGTGCCAACCAAACTTGCTTATAAACAAACATGCATATGTCCCAAACACTACACAGTAGTACCCAAATGACAACATTGCATTAAAAGGTATAAAAGCACTGTACTGTAAAGTTACACGTGAATACTGCACTGTAAATCCTGAATACTCTAGTGACCCACCCCTACCGCTTCCACAGGCCTGGTGAAGGTCAGAAACCATTCATCTGCCTCCAGACCTTGCTAGTCCTGGGAGACACTGTTACAGAGGCAGTGGAATTAGTCTCCTGCAGATCTCTGGCCTCCTCCATAGCTTCCCAGTATCCGGAAGGCTTGGGGGTCTTTCTTAAAGACCATGGCCAGGAACTCCATGATTTGCTCGTTGGTAATTTCGCGGCCAGCCCGGGAGCCCCAGAAGAACTCATACACCGGCTGCTGCACGTATTGGCCGTGCCAGTACTTAAGGTAATTCTGCTGGACAAACTCCTTGGTGATGAGCTTCCGCACGTCCCGAAGGTGGAAAGTGGAGTGCTTTTTCCAGGGCGTCAGCCCCAGGACGCGCAGCACGTTCCAGACGGCGCTGTTTCTGGTGCTGCAACCTTTCAAGTAGATGAGGCTCAGGATCATGAGAAGGCCTGTCAGGACTATGCTGTTGCTCAGAGCCACCCTGTCCAGCTCCTCGGGCTCCAGCGCTTTGACCAGCTCAAACTCCATGGTGTGGAGGCTGGACAGCCTCTGGTGCAACCTGGTCAGCTTCCATGGTGCATTCCGAACACCTGGGCGAGAATGAGGCTGGTGAGCCTGAGGATGCCCCTCCATCACTAATTGTAGCTGCCGATGACATCCTTCCGTGTCTGGAAACCAAATGATGATCTTCTTCTGGTCCTTGACCCGCACGTACCACATGAGCTCGTGCGCCTTCTTCAGCAGCTGTGCTGGGCCAGACTGGGCCGTGCTAGGGGCCTGGTGGGCGCCGCCCTTCTCCGCGGCCTGCTGCAGAGCCTTCGGGTCGCTTGTGGTCTGGGGCAGTGGTCAGGTGTCGAGGAGGGCTCTGCGACTCTGCCAGGGTCGCGAACGGAGGAACGCCTACCGAAACCCCAGGGTTGCTATGCACCTCGGAGCTGGAGGCCTTGGCTGTAAAGTTGGGGTCGCTCAGATCCTTACTTTGTTCCCACCGGTTTGCTCCCTCTGACAAGAGCCTCTGCGTCCAGGAGCACTTTGAGTCTGCCCTCCCTCCGCGGACTCCTGGAGAGGAAGTCTTGTACTCTCACCTTTTAAGAATCAGTGCAACTATCTCCTCTTCTAGGATACCTTTCATAAACTCTTCTCTATGCCTTCTAGGAATTAAGTTATTCTCTTCTATGTTTGTTCATTGAATTTCTGTTGTGGTATTTATGACTTTGTATTCTTATTTTACTTTACCTGTGTTCTCTCCTACCCACCTCCCACACAATCAGAAACCAGCACTGTGTCTGCTTGTTTAAAGAATAGTAAAATAAATACTTGGAGCTCTTAGCTCCCTCCGAAATTTCAATTCAGTTTTAGATAATACTTCTGGAGAAAGAGGAATATTCACTTTCTTACGGAAAATATTTTTAAACACATTTAATAAAAATATTATTCTGACAGCGTTGTAAATTTGCATTTGGTATATGAACTTTTAGAACTGCTTAAAAATATGTGAATTTTAAAGTAATGCATGATCATATTTAATTGTTGGACTTTTTATTTTCCTGTATAGGGCTGTAATCAGTGATCCAGAACAAAATTTAGCCATTGAGCAAAAAGAAAGTGATCATATCCTTCCAGATTCAAAGATGACACCTCTTCGATTTAGAAAAAGAACACTACATGAAACAAAGTAAGAAGATTTTAATTACATAAAATGAAGATGCACTATGTTCTAAAAGTATTTTTAAAATGTACTTCTGTGTCTAGCTGGAGCTTCTGTGTTCGTTTCACTTTTTTCTATATAAAGAAAAGTGGAATTTTTTTAGTTCAGCTCCCAATTCTGCTACTTTATGATATTAGGGGCAATACCTTATTTTACTCTCTTTGCCCTCCAGATTTTTTATTTGTAATTTAGGGGAAAAAAAGCCACAACCTTTGGAGATAATGGATGTGAAAATGTATCATATAATTACCGAGATATTTTACGTGTGTTATATATAATGGCTAAATCTCATTGGCATGTTAACAATTGGTATTGATTATAATTTTTTTCTTTTTTTTTGCATTTTGCGTTGTAGCTTTTTCAACCTTAGAATTGGTATGATCTTTTACAATCCTCTGATGCTGTCCACTTAAATTCTTCAACAGTTTCACTGACATCTAACCTCAGCTTTAGTAGACATAAAAAAATCTACCAGTACCCACAGTAACTTTTTTATATTTTCAGACTACTGTAATTGTTAGTATTTTCATATCTTTTTTTAATCGTTTTGTCTCATTCTTATTTTCTGAAAGCCCTTGCTTTCATCCATTCAAATATTTAGAAGCATCATGTGTTAGTTTCTTATTGCTGCTGTAACAATTACCATGAGCTTAGTATTATAAGATTTATTCTTTAATTGTTCTGGAGTTCAGATGCCTAAAATCATGGGATTGATAGGGCTACATTCCTTCTAGAGGTTTTAGGGGTGAAGCTGTTTTCTTGCCTTTTGCAGCTTCTAGAAGCCGCCTTCATTCCTTGGCTCTTGGCCCTTTCCTCCATCTTCAAAGTCTGCAATAGCTGGTTTCATGCTGCATCACTCTGTCACTCTTTTTCTATAGATACATTTCTCTCTACATTCCTCCAATAAGGACATGTATGAGTGCATTGAATCTTCCTGGATAATGCCAATAGTCTCTCCATTTTAATGTTCTTAATTTATCAAATATGCCACGTCCCTTCTATCATATAATATATTCCCATGTTCCAAGGATTAGGATGTAGACATGTTGGGCCAGAGGAGGTCATCATTTATGTACCACACATCTAAACTTTCCTTTTTAAAAGTAAACTTCCATTGAAATAAAACGTACATTCACAGTGCACACATTTTAGGTGCACAACATAGGAGTTATCAAAACCAGAACAACACTCATATACCAAATGCCCAGATCAAGAAACAGACAATTGCCAGTACCACAGAACCTCCCCTTATGCTGCCTCCCAGGTACTATTCATTTCCCCTGCTATACCAGGTTAATCTCTCTATCTTAATATCATAGATTAGAACTGCCTGGTTATGAAATTTGTGGAAATGAAATTACAAGAAATCTAGACTCTGTGTCCAGCTTATTTTTTTCTCTCTAATGGCACTTATTTATTTAGTTGTATATAAGATGTATAACATGATATTTTGATATACATAGTGAAATGTGTTTGGCTTCTTTTACCCAACATTATGTTTGTTAGTTTTATCCATGGTGTTATTTGTAGTTGTCTTTTTTTAATTTCATCGTTGTGTGGTATTTCATTGTACCACACGCCACAACCTATCTATTCAGAGGTTGATAGATATTTGGCTGTTTATGAATAGTGCTGCTATGAACTTCCTTGCTCATGCCTTTTGGTAAACATATGTACTCATTTCTGCTGAGTATATACTTAGAAGTAGAATTGTTGGACCATTTAGTATCCATATGTTCAGCTTTAAAAGATGCAGCCAAATAGCTTTCCCAACTGGTTGCTGAAATTTACACTCCCACCAGTAGCAGTATGAGTGTTCTTGTTGCACCATATCTTTGCCAGAGCTTGGTATTGTCTGCCTTTTTTTATTTGAGTTCTTCTTATGGATGTGTATTAGTGATTTTAATTTGCATTTCACTGGAGACTAATGTAGTTGGGTACTTTTCCATATGTATATAGGCCATCTAGATATTCTCATACAAAATTTCCATTCAAGCCTGTTGAGTTGTCTGTCTTTTTAGTATTTATTTGTGGATCTTATTTACATGTTTTAAAAATGAATCATTTTTCAACTATATTTGTCACACATATCTTGTCCTACTCTGTAGTTACCTTTTCATTCTCTTGATTGTATCTGTCTTAAAAACTAAAGTTAGAAATAGGAGTTCCTAATTTTAACAGAGGCCAGTTTTCCTCTTTCCCTATATTGTTAATGTCCTTTGTATATTCCTTAAAAATAATCTCTGCCTACCACTAAATCATTTTCCCTCTGACTTGTAATGCCACATATGTCATATGTCAAGTTGTTGTATGCATGATTATGACATGACATGTTATATGCATGTCTAATGCATGGTTGTTTTCTAGACTTTTTCTTCAGTATTATCTGTTTCCCTGCATCAATATTATCCTAATTAGTATTGCGTTATATTAGAGTAAATACCTGCAACTTGTTTCAAACTAATCTAGTTCCATGAGAAATCCTGTTGTGGTATCAATTAGAATTAATGAATTTGTAGCTTTCACTCCTCTTACCCCCATTTATTCTTCCCAGAGGAGGAGCGAGTTCTGCTTCATAAATTTAGAAGCAGGAATTGGCATGGGTAGTGCAGCCCTTCCTCTCCCCTTTGTTTGGGAGGCAGCAGCCTGCAGAAGCACACGTTCTGCCCTGTGCATTGTTTTAAACGGTCCCTCCCCAGTGGAAATGAGTGGGTTAGTCTGTTTAATTATAGTGGTAAGGACTAGCTTGTGGTTGCTGCATACCTAAGCTGTGGTTTCTAATAGCTTTATCAATACTAAAATTCGTACTTTAATCTTCAATCTTTCTGATTCTTCTTTATGTATTGGTAAGGAACTTGGGTTCCTAAAAGGAATTGGGCACCTAAAACCCAACATGGCACTTTGCATTTTATAGTGTAAATACATATTTACTTTTATCTTTTCGAGAAGACTACAGGGCCCTTGAAGCTGCTACTTCCATTTGTTACTGTTAAAGTGAGTTCTGTTTACTATTGAAAAGCAATATAATGTAATGGTTAAGAGCAAAGTTTTTTCTAGCTCTGCCATTTACTAATCATATGGCCTTGAGCAATTTACTCATCTGTCTCTGTTTCTATAAAATTTATTTGAAAAATGGGAATAATAACACTTAACCTCAGAGTTATTGTAAGTAGTAAATAAACCAATACACATTAAAGTGATTTTAACAATGACTAGTGTCTGGGAAATTCTCAATAAATGGTAGCCATTACTGTTGCTGTTATTTTCTCAGCATTTAGAATTGTTTCAGGCACATAGTGGACATTCAATAAATACATTAATCCCAGTGGATTAAATTGAATTGAGGTGGTTAAGCTTCCATGGCTCTACTCTGTGCTCACAAACTCTCATTTGGTTTGCAGGCTCATGTTTCCTGTCTCCTGCTTCCTTTTTGTAGATACCCAGATTTTATAGAGGTGTAGCTTTCAAGATTCCAGTGACCCACACACTTACTTACTAATTACATTACTGCCATTTCATTATACCTGCAGTTTTATGGGAGAAATATTATTGTGTGAAGCAAAGAAGAAATGTATCATTTAGTCTTCAGATCTCTTAATATATAGGAGATTATTGGCAGTAGGGTGCTTTGGTTTTGCTTTATATTGTTAAATAGAATTTTAGGGCTGGCAGCCTTTATGAGATCATTCAGTACTGTCTGAAGGCCATAATGCTTAAATAACCTATTGATCTATGACAAGGTTCGAACTTCATTCAGCACTCTTCCTCACTCTTTGGTTATTCTGGTAAGGAATGTTTTCAGTTACACATCACTGAAAAACGATTGATAGTGGCTTAAACAAGTCAGAATTTATTTTTCCTATATAGTTAGCTGCTTGGAGGTAGGCATTTATTGATTTTGGTTCAGTAGCTTAGTGATGTTACAGCTTTAGGCTGGCTTTCCTATATCTTTTTGGTCATTCTGATGTAGTGGCTTGATCTCATGGTGACTAGAGTGGCTCCTAGCATCATATCCCTGCCATGTTCACAGGCAGGAACTCTTCTCATGCCACTCTCTTACCAGGACAAAAGAAAGTCTTTCCTGGAAGCTTATTGGCAGAACTAGGTCCCTTACTCATCCTTAGTTGCAAGATGCTAAGAGCAAATTCTGTGGTGGGAGGGAAGCAAAGAAGAAGAGGGTTAGAAATGGCACTCAGGTAGCCCTGCAACAGTGCCAGTCACAAATGTTGTATCTCTGTTCAATATTTACTTTTATAACACTTTGATGGTATAGCTTCTAATATAAAAGTCATTCACATATTATATACTATATCTCAGAGTTATTTCTTTTGTGTCTGCTACAATTAGCAATCTGAAAAAGAAGAGTACCTTTATCTTTATCCAATCTGTGTGGTTTCAAAATATTCACATAACTTTTTTTGTACATTTTAATTTCCATCAAGTTACAGGTATCTTAAAAAGTTACTGACAAAATGTATTTCTTAACAGGATAAGAACTCATTCTACATTAACTGAAAATGTGCTTTCTCATAAATTACAATTTGATGGTAGGATCATATCACGGTAATTGTGATTTTATTAAAATTTTTAATCCTATGATTACAAAAACATATTCTTTTTTGAATAGAAATAACAGTAATGAGATTAGATAGGTTTGTATCATTTAAAAATATGTGAATTTAGAACAGACATTTTAATGTAATATCTAGTAATCTGTTATAAAAAATAAGAAATATGAATCTGTAGGAAAAAAATTCTAATTAAAAGTTATCTTTGAAGTGAATTTAAATGTTTTTTAAAAAGTAACTTAGCAGTGAATTTTTAAAAGAGTTATATTACTACCAGAGTATTGTAAACTGAAAACTAATGTTTTATAAGCTGCTTTATTTAATTTTGTCTTAATGATTTAACAGATTATCGATAGATGCAGTGACAAGGAAAATAATTCTTAAATCTATTATTTCAGTCTTATAATCTTCCAGTAATACATAATTCTACTTGATGTTCTTTCTATATTACTAGTAAAATGTGTATTTTAAATTATCTTATTTGTTTAGTGATTTTAAAGCTTTCTATGACAATAAAAGATAATAAATTTGTATCTATGTGTGCCTTCTTGCAAGCTCAACACTTTTAAAGATAATTCACTTTATCTTAAAAGTCTATGTTGAATTAATAATTTACATTGTAAATATATCCACTTTTCATGTCAGTGTAATATTTTTATTTCTGCATTCAGATCTAACTTTTAGTGGACATTTCAGCAAGCTGTGTTTTTGTGTTTTCCCTACAGTTTCCCATAACCTTCACTCATTGCCACATACATAAGAGAGTTAGCTACCCCTCTTGAGATGCACACTTTTTTTAGTTAATTAATCTAAAAATTATTATATTTGAAGATATTTGATCTCATTCTATTTTTTCCAGTAATGGACGTGATGCTTGCAGAGAGCTGATTGGGTTCTTTTTCACTCACGACCAGTCCCTTACAATTTATGAATATCGACAATTTGGGAAAAATAGGTATGCCATAAAACATTGTTAGAACTCTGGAGATGATCACTTCTGAGAGAAGCTAAATAACTTTCCATTTTTTTCTCATTTACTTTCTAGAACAATTGTGCTTCCTTTTATTCAAAAAAGCATTTATAGTCATCAGTGTGGACGAAGAAAAGGAAAACAATACCGACTTGGTGATTTTTATGTTGTAAGTTGTGTGTGTGTGTGTGCACACATTTAATACCAGATGGTGGATTTTGTGGAGTCCTATGGAGGTGGAGGAACAGGGCTTCTAGTCTTCAATTTATTTCCTCTCCTCCGTCCTGAACAGGGTCATTTATGTGGGCTAATGGTCGATGTTTTCCCAGGAACTTCTGCTTCCTAGCCCCAAATCTCAAGTCTGAATACAAGCGTAGCATTTATTTTCTGTAACACCCCCCTTCCCATTCCACAATGTGGCTTGTCTCCAGATGAAGTTGTATCTTCATACTTTGAAAGGTTCTTCAAAGCTGTGTCATTGGCTAAGTGGCTATCTCAATAGCACCAGGAGATATTCTTTACCTAAAGTAGGTTTATCCTCTGAGGATGGACAGTTTCCTCCATGTGAAGGGGTATGGGCCTCTGGAGCTATCACTTTTCTGACAGATAGCCTATCTTCCTTGTGATTTTCCCACTTCAGGAAATTCCTGGCATTTGGTGTGTCACAAGGATTCCCTAGAATGGGTGGAGCATAGGTAGTGTTACAGTTTGTGTAGTGCTCTTAAATTTTAAATCGTATTTACACTTTATATCATGATTAAAATACAGCACTATCCACAGTGATCATTCAGGTAATATATGTTTCTGTCCTAAGATCTGTAGATGGAGCAGTAAGTTAGACTCATTCCCTGCTTTTGTGGAGCTGACAGTCTAATTGGAGACACAGATAGATAGGAGGGCCAGATACGAGGGGGAATGTGGGCCAGATAGGAGGGGTGATGGCTCAGTTTTGTGGAATCAATGGAGGTTCCCTAGAGAAAGTGCCATCTACCCTTGACTAGGAGTTAGCAAGGCTGGGATAAGGGGATAGGTGAGGGTGGGGAAAAGCTTCCAGGTGGAGAAGACAGCTTGTGCTAAGAACAAAAGGGAAGAGAGCACATGACTTATTTGGAGAACTGGAAGTAGTTCAGTCTGGTTGGAGGAGAGTTCAAGGTGAAGGCTGGCAAGAGATGAGTCAGAGCTTATTAAAAAGCAGCCTATGTTAAAGAGTTATCTAACATGTATTGAGGAGTCACTGGAAGAGAAGATGTGGATGGAGTGGGGGAAGGTGGCATGATCAGATTTGTGATTTTGAAAGATCTGTCTGGTTACAATGTGGGGAAGGAATTGAAGACTAGATACACAAGGGCAGGATGGGATTGAATTATATCAATCAAGGAGAGAGATTATGGCAACCTGAATAAGCACGTGACTCTGGCTATGAAGCTAATTAGACAAATAAAAATTATTTGATAGGTAGAGCCAGTACAGTTTGGTACCCAGTTAAGGGAGAAGTATGGGTTGAGGAAAAATTTTACATCTTACACTTAAATACACTATACACTATACATATGGCACTGAAGCCTGCCTCTTGAGATCTAGAGAAAATCAGCTCCGACTCCCATTTCACAACCTGCAGAAGAATGTTTAATGCATATTCCAAGTTTAAAGTTTGAGTTTATGTCTCCAAAAATTTAGTGTAGTTTATGATTTATTCTCACTATCCTCATTCCGTATTTCTTTGAAGTAGATGTGGAACTCTGTTCTTTTTTATGATTTCCAAGAAAGAAAGAAAATAAAGAAAAAGAAAAGAAAGAAAGAAAGAAAAAGAAAGAAAGAAAAAAGAAAGAAAGAAAGAGAGAAAGAAAGAAAGAAAGAACGAAAGAAAAGAAAGAAAGAAAGAAAGAAAGAAAGAAAGAAAGAAAGAAAGAAATACTGAAATGCAAGTGCATTATTTAGAAAATAAATGATATTTTTAGATTAAATGACTGAAATTTAAATTTAGTAGTGATGGAAATAATCTTATAATCTATAATAGTAATTCATGTCCATCTATATGCAAGATGGAAATCAGACATTTAATTTATGTTTTAGAACTTCAGTTAAATATTGTATGGTTCTACTTTATCGATGATGAAATTGTCTTTATTTAATCTTCCCAGAAATTCGTGGCTGCAGAGAAGAAGAAATAGATTGTTGCAGAGTGAAGTCATGATAGACTACTCTATCTAGTGAGAATTAGCAACTCAAGGCTAGAAATCAATCTGTGAAAATTTCCTTTCATTAAATTTCTTTCTGGGTGCATGACACTCATATGCTTGGTCAATTAAAGGTTAGCGAACCCAGAGGTTCCCAAACTTTCTTTGTTCACTGCACTGTTAGTGTTTTAGTAATTTTTCACAGTACTCTTAGACTAACAGAATACTCCACAGTTCTATTTATAAGTATTTTTCTCTAACAATTTAATAAGTATTTATTTACAATAACTAATGACCATTTAAAAAATAATACAAATTGAAAGAAGATATCCTTACTTATTCTTACTAAGGATCTGTATGCATCTTATGGGCACTGCAGTCTCTCAAATCCTAGAATCATTTATAATGCTGCTACTTCCACTTTATATTCCATACTGATTTTCACCTGATATTTGCTTTCTATCATAATAACTATAGTAGGGGAAAATCTAGCTCTGCAAAGATGTAATATCATGGAAGCAGAGATAGAGTGTGGCTGTCTTGTTGAAGCTGTGAGCTACCCTGAGGTTGAACTAGTAGTTTATCTGGTGTGTAAGTGATGTCAAGTATCACTGAGTTTCCCCTCAAAATTAAAAAGATTCCATAGTACCTCTGTGAGTCTACTCTCGTGTTACCTTAGGTTCCTGGTGCAGTCTCGAACTGTGAGACTGTTAAGAATTTTGAAACCTGCTAGAAAACTAAAATTTTAACATATGCATCGCTTGAATTGCATGATAATATGGAAATATGCCAGAATTTCTGAAGAGGTTGGAACTATCTACTCAAGTAAAAAGTAAGACTTAGCTGGAAAAAAAAAAAAACTGTTTAGTTACGCGGGCAGAAGGAATGAATGATAGAATGATGTACGTTTCTACATGCACGTTTTCAGTGAATTTTTTGAAATAGTTATACCTAGAGTCTCTCTTTGTTCCTCCTCCCCCATTGTCTCATGAATCCTAGTGTTTTCTACCTCCACCATGCCTCCAATAACTTCTTTTCCAGAAGTAGTGAGATCCATATTGCTAGGACTAACGGTTCTCAGTTCTCATTTACTTGGCCATCTGGCAGCTGTCTCATCGGAAATTTATTTTCTTTGAGGCAGGTTTTTTGTTTTGTTTTTTTCAAGGGCTTCTGTACCTAACACTCTGACTGTTCTCCTATTTTCTCCTTCCTTGTGAATCTCTTGTGGTTCTTCTTCATCTTCCTGTAGTCTTTAAACATGGGTGTGCCTACAGCCTAGTTCTTGAATTTCTCTTGTATTTGCTTTTAAGTGATTCTAATTCCAGTAGCTGCCTTTAAAACCACCTATATTTGATACTTCTCTAAGATTTCAATTTAACTTTCCAATCTGGGGGTTCAGTTTTTACTGTCTCTCTTCCACCATGACTAAATCTTAATTTTCTCCACAGCAAGTCAATTCTTCTTGTTTCTAAGACTCCAAAATCCTAGTGATGCCTTTGACTCCTCTCTTTCTCTCTCAAATACTACATCTAGCTTCAAGCAAACTAACACTCAGTCCTACCATCAACATAGATTTACTCCTCTGCTGCCACCATCCTATTCAAACTTACTTTGTGTCCCTGATTATTCTAGGACTACTTAATCGGCCTCATTGTTTCTGCATTTTGCCGCTTACTGTTTATTTTCAACCCAGTACTCCCATAGTTAATCTATTAAAAAGGTAAGCCAGATAAAACTTCTCCAGGAATTTCATTCTAATCACAGCAAAGCTACAAGGCTCATGTATTAATTTATGTGTCACAACAAAAATCAGTAGCTTAAAAGAACAGAATTTTGCTCATGTGTCTTTAGGTTATCTATCAAGGCTAGGCTTGAAGGGAAGGTCCTTACTTTGCTCTTTACCAGCTGCATGGCAGAGCAAAACTATCTCTAGGCTCAGATGGTTTTAAATAATCCTCATGTGTTTCATTTGCTCCCTTTAGTGCTCCCCAAGTACTTTTGAGAGAGAAGAATACTGCTTGGCTAGTCTGGTAGTCCTGCAGAAAAGGTCTCCTTCTAGAATGCCACCTGAGCTACTTAGCTGAGATCATCCTAGATAAAATATTAGATTTCCAACCAACCCGTGTGATCAGGCTGAGTTAGTTCCAGTTGAGATTAGCAGAGTCATATAGCTGTGTGTAACTGACTAAAGCAAGCTGCAGCCCACATTGAGGTAAGAAAGTACACACCACCTATAATGAGGCCATAGCAAGGATGTGGATCAGGATTACTAAAATTTAAATAATAACACAGCTATCCAAGCCACTATTGACCTTGACCTTGACCTTGACTTTCTCCCTCTTTCCTACTCTCTAGCCATTTGACTTCCTGTTCTTGGAATATACCAGGTTCCATTCCTGTGTTAGGTACTTACTTAGTTCTTCCTCTTCTTGAATGTTTTTTCCTGGTAGAAATGTGTGTGTGTCTGCTTACCATTTTAGAAGGCTCTGTCTTTACTTAGAATACCTTGGTGAGGCCTATACCTTGGCCTATATTTATAAATAATCCATAAATACATTTAAATCAATAACTGACTATAAATAAATTTATGATCTTGCTCAAAATTTTGCATCTTCTTACCATTTCATTTTTTCCTCCATAGGGACATGTAATTCATGTTATATTTTCTCTGTTTATCATGTTAATTATCTTATGCCCTCTTCAGAATGTGAGCCTATGAGGGCAGAGCACTTTGGAAGTTTTGCTCACTGACCATAATTCCCAATTGGCCAGTCTAGTAGCTGTATAGTAAAACTTGTTGAATAGGCAAATGAATGAATGAACTGAAAAGAGGATCAAATAGAGTCAGCAGAATTTGGCCTTAGGTTTAGCTATGTGACTAATTCGGCTGTTTGAGCTTTGCTATTTTCCTTCTGTATGTCTTGATTTTGCTTCTGCCAAATTCACATTAAGATTTCTTATAACTCTGACATTCCGCACATGGTATATTTAA